CACACTACACACACACATACACACATGCACACACACACATATACACAAAAACACATACACACACACTCACATTGACACACACGCACACTCCTTCCCTACACGCACACACATTCATACACACATATACATGCATCTACATACTCACCTCCCCTCCCCTCAACACACACGTAAACGAACACGTGCATATACCTGTACAGGTGAGCGGCGAGTCAGCGGGTGCCATCGACACGTCAGTTCTGACCCTCTGCTCCCAGGCTCGTGGTCTGTTTGCCCGCGCTTTTTCCATGAGTGGAGCTACGGGAGTGGACCATCCTATGGTTCTGGCCAGGGAGCCTGTGACGATGGCGGAACTGGCGGCCAGGTGATCACGTGACGTGGGATGAGACGGAACTACATGGGATGGAGTGGGACTAAATGCGATGAGATGGAATGATGTAATAATATTACGATGATGGGATGGTATAATAATATTATGATGGGATTGAATGGGATGGGATGTGATGGAATGAGATGGAATGGGATGGGATGTAATAGGATGGGATGTAATAGGATGGGATGAAATCGGATGGGATTGGATTGGATGGGATGGGATGGGATGCAATAGGGTCGGATGAGATAGGATGGAATAGAATAGGATAGGACGGGATGTGAGAAGGTGGAAGGGGATGAGGTAGGATAAGATGAATTGCGGAGATGGAGAAAATGAGATGGGGGTGTGGTGGGATGGGAATGGATGGAAATGGGATGGGGTGAGAGAGGGTGGCATGGAATAGGAGGAGAAAAATATGTATGGGTTTAACGCTCTCTGCTGCATCTAGGTTTTTTTTAAAGAGGGAGGCAGATCCACCGAGTTGATCGTTCATTCACAGCAGGACCGAGAAAAGGGGATTGTAAAATTGCGATACCGATAGATATTTAAGAACAATCTTTTGAGGATTGGAACAATTTTCGTCGGCACCCAAGTCAAGCATGTTTCGTGCTTAGCTATTTTTGAAGTGACTGAGGTGATATGAGTCAGGGTTTGAGGATGAGATATGTGAAGGAGTGAGATGAGATGAGATGAGATGAGATGAGATGAGATGAGATGAGATGAGGTGAGTAGAGGTAAGATGAACTGACGTGAGACCGGATGTTATTATCGTTAAGTTTAATGTGATTTTTACCTTGTTTTCTGTCTCCAGACGTGGCCATAATGTTATTTTCTTCTGTGACGAGATTGGTATTGAAATATTGTACACTTGACTAAGTCTTTTTCTGTTAACAAAGGATGTGGTCAAGATTTTCTGCTCCCAGAAATGATTTAATTTCTATTTGCAGATTTGATCTAGCTTATGTTTCCACATTTTACTTGGTTACAGTATAGAGAACTGACTGTATTGCTGTGGCCTAATTTATATTTAGATTGTAAAGTTACTTGGTGGTCCTAAAGGGTTTTGGTCTTTCAGGGTGCCCCTTTCTGACGCCCAGGATCGATGTTGTTGTTCTTGTCGTCCTGTGCTCAGACGTCTCCCGGCCTATTTCCCGCTTCTCGAATGTCACATGACCAAAGGCGCGCTACTCCCTTAATTTTACTGTCCCATAAAAATAATAAGAATCATGTCACCTGACATCACATTAGGGAAGTCAATATACTGTTATCTGTTCACTTAATTTCAAATAGAGAAGTAATTGCTTTGTTTTTTGTTTTGATATGTTAATCTAATTTCAGTATAGAGAAGCGAACGTATTGCTTTTGTATTCCAGATGTGACCAAATTTCTATTTAGAGAGGTGACTGTTGATTTCTGTTCATAGATTTCTCCTAACATCTAGATGCATTTCCTGTCTTTGTGTGTGTCCCAATTTCCTTTTTAGAGAGGTGACTGTTGATTTCTGTTCTAGAATTTCACCTAATTTCTAGCTGTATTTCCTGTTTTTGTGTGTGGCCTAATTTCTGTTCAGAGAAGTGACTGTAATGTTTTCTGTTTCTAGACTTCTACGTAATTTCTATTTAGAAAATGACTACGAGTTCAATTTTTGTATTCTGTTTATAGACGTGGTTAGCCCCGTTTCTTCAGACGTGACTAATGTTTCTATTTAGAAAAGTCATTGAATATTTATATGTTACATGATCTAATTCCTGCTTCAACACGTGGCCTAATTTCTATTTTAAGAAGTGACGGAACTGTATTGTTTGCAAACGTGACACAGTTTTTTGCTTCCAGGCCTGGGCTAATTTCTATGCAGAAAAGTGACAGTATTATTTTCTGTTGTAAGCATAATTTAGTTCCTGCTTCCAGACGTGACCAAATTTCTATTTTTAGAAGTGACTATTTCTGTCTGTTTCCAGACGTGAGCAGTGTCTGGGCGAGACTGACCCAGTTCCTGAGACGGACGAGCAGTGGGCGCCCGTGGTAGAGTGTCTGAGGAAAGTGCCAGAGGACAGGTTCGGATCCATGGCAGGTCTTGGAGAAATGCCATTAATTGGACCGGTGGTAGATGGAGACTTAGTACCGAATGATGTACGTCGTTTTTTGTTTTTGTTTTAGTAAGTGTTTTACGCTTGCAACTGCATAACGTCATTGCTCGTCGCTCTCCGCGTATGGAGCAAAATGTGAAAACTCTGGTCTTAAGCCATTGTGCTCAGCACTATCTTAAAAATCGCATCTCACATTTATCTTTACATCAACAATTCATGGCATCTTAAAAATACCTCGCGGATAGCGAAATGACGTACTGACGATAAGTTTATATGTTAGAACAATGCCTCTTAAAGTTTAATGGTCTACACTGTGACAATGGCGGGGGGGGGGGGGGGTAGATGGGTTGTTAGGATTCTGATGATAAAG